AATGAATCGTTTTCGGATTGCTTCTTCTTTTCAGGCTCGATCTGGGCGAGGCTGGCAAATGTGGCATGTACGTCGACAAGCAAATTTAAGTTCGAGCTGGTGTGAGGACTCTGCTGGCTGGCAACCAAGGACTGCTCCAAGAAACCTCCTGACCAGAAAGCTGGAACCTTCAAGCCGCCCTCCCAACCAGTGTTCTTGCCGCCATAATACGGGAAGTTCAGCGAAGCGTCATCATTGGCACCGCCATTGTCGCCCATGACCATGAGCACGGTGTCATCCCACATGCTAGCACTTCGCAGAGCATCAACGATCTTTCCTACAGCGCGGTCAACTGCATGGATCGCACCACATTGCACCTTCCTCTTGAAGTTTCCATCATTTGCACACGGCCCAGGAAATCCTTCGGCGCATTGCTTGAAAGGGTAGGCCGCAGCAGCCTTGGTGTTCCCAGCCTCAGCAGTCTCCTCAGTGAATTGTGGCGTTTTCCCAGCTTCTGGGTAATTCGCGCACCTTGTGCCATAGACATCGTCGTGATGAGCTTGAACAGGGGCATGGACGGATGTAAAGGCGACATACAGGTAGAGACCTCTGTCATCATTCATAGCAGCGTGCTTTTCGATGAACTCAACGGCCAAGTCCGACCACACATCCGTCGTATAGGTACCAGGCTTTTGGATGGACAGCGGTGTTTCGGGAGCCACCCACTCAGAAGTGCTGTCGTACTCGGCACCGAAAGCACTGCAGAACGCTTTTCTCTGGTGATCGCATCCATGTCCGTCTGCCTGACATGGAACGCCATCGTGAATATCCCAGAGACCGTCAACAGTGTGGTTGCGAGCGGGAAGTCCGTAGCTTGACAAGAAGTAGCCCTTGAAGCCTTCCTCCCTGACGACATCGACGTTGGAAAATGCAAAATTGTACTGATTGCAACCGCCCCCCCAATGCTGCGTGGGCTTCCCAAGCAACGTAAATTCGCCGAAGCCCTTACTGAACGGAAGCTCACTCTTCGTTGCCGCACCCAAGTCCCATTTCCCAACCATAGCAGATCGGTATTGACCGCTTTTGGCCAGCTCTTCCGCAAGGAATACTTCGCCTGAATTGACGACATAGGGGTGGTCCAAATTGGGCTTGAAGTCAGCCATTCCCCATCGCCAGGGCATCCGCCCAGTCATAAGGGCACCCCTGCTCGGGGTGCACACAGGTGTGGCGTAGAAATGCTCAACGATGACGCCGCTCTGAGCGAGGCTGTCCATCCTCGGTGTGGCGAGGTACTTGTCACGAAAGCCTATATCATTGTACCCCCAGTCATCCACCAGAACATGAATCAGGTGCGGCCGCTTGCTCCGTTGAGTTGTTGATGTCGAGCGGCGCATCGCCGCGACTCGCACCGCGATCACACATGATGCGATAGCGAGCCAGCAGCGTGCCATCGCCAGGAAAAGTGTCCCGAAAAGCGTTTACCAAACAACTCGAGAAGCTCCCTGATGAACCAGCGGGCGCGCCTGGAAGAGTGGCTCTGCGCACGACGGGTGCACGCTGGAGCTTCGGCCTCCGAAATTATCCGGTCGTGGTGGACCGCTGCGAGGCGTGCAAGCGGAGGGAAAGAGCCCGCGCGAGCAGCCAAGCAGGGCTCCGGGAGGCGAGGGAAGCAGCCTCGACGGGGCATACCCTGGAAACGGCCTCACCCAAGCCCAGCGGAGAAACATCCCGGAGTCCCTCCCCCCTTTTCCTCTTCATTCTCCTCTTCATTCTCCTCTCCCTTCTCCCCCTCATCCTCCTCCTGCTCCTCCTCCTCTTCTTCCTCCACCTCCTCCTTCTCTTCCTCCTCCTCCTCGTCCACCTCCTCCTCGTCCACCTCCTCCTCCTCCACCTCCTCCTCCACCTCCTCCTCCTCCTCCTCCTCCTCCTCGTCGTCCACCTCCTCCTCCTCCTCCTCCTCCACCTCCTCCTCCTCCTCCTCCTCCTCCTCCTCCTCCTCCTCCTCCTCCTCCTCCTCCCCCTCCTCCTCCCTCTACCTCCCAGACGGCAGAAAGCCAAGGACACAGCGCGGGAGCCGGCCGTGACGTCCGCACGGCGCCCGAGGCGTGCGCCCTGCCAGCCCCTCACCGGCTCCCCGCGGGCGCGCGGCCGCCCCGGGGCACGGGAGCGGTCCAGCCCACCGCTGGATCGGAGCAGTGGGACTGGCGCTAAAACGACGCGAAGATCGGGACGAACTCGGATCGGGATAACTCGAGATCTCTGAGGATCGGCGGGTTTGGAGGATGTGTTGGGCGCCGCGGCCGCTCCAGAGCGTTCCGGAACGCTCTGAGAGCGCTCCGGAACGCTCTGGAGCGATGTATCCCGATCCTAGCCCTGTTTTATGGCGCAGATGGGTCCCTTGGGGGAGGCGCAGCAGTCCCAGACCCCCTCGCGTTGTGAGGAGATCGCGGCGGGAGGTTCTTCCCTCTCTTCGGCCTCCTGGGGGCCCTCCCAGGCCTCGGGACCGCCAAATAATGACTCGGGGTGGAGAACCGGTCCTGGAGAAGGGGTCGAGACCTCTGGGGGTCGACGTTGTGAAAAAAACACGGAGTGGGGGGTCTGGCACAGATGGGTCCCTGGGGGGAGGTGCAACAATACATTCGGACCTGGGCCAGAAGAATATCCCTCAAGAACGTGAGACCCTCCGATGACCAAAACAAGCAAGACATCAGGGGGTACCCTCCGCAGGATGTTTGAAAACGTCCAACAAGCACGAAGAACACGACGGTACCCTCCCCAAACCGACCTCGATCTTATACCTCGGTCCGACTATAGTTGCCATAAAGGAAACCTGGATGGCGTCGATGCAACAGTGCTCGTGCGCTAGATGCCGTAATGATTCGTGGGGGCTGCAGCAGCAGTTGCAATAGATGGCGGCTGCATGCAAATAGTTTGCGTGCTGGGGTCCTGCAATTGCGCATGAACGCGGCTGTATAGTTAGTTTAGCACAGGCTGTCAACAAGTGATGTCCGTGCAAAAAAACTGCGTGCCCCCCCACCCACCCACAACTGTTCGAACTATTGCTCACAGCAGTACACTCTTAAGGAACGATTGCCCCTGCCACCGCCGACCCATCTGCGCCAGGCAGACCACTCCAGCTGTGACAACCCCAGCCCAGAAAGGGAAGACGAGAGGACAGAGAGGAAGGGCGAGCGACCTGCCACGAAGCAGGAACCGCAGATGGCTGGACTCACACGTGGAACGCCCGGATATCACGCGCTGGACTCACGTACGAAAGCCCAGCCTACACGGCCACAGCACAGCTGAGCGCTAGAAGCGCTGGAAGGACATCCGGCCACATGTGCATCCAGCCGTCGCCCACGCCAGACGGGCGCGCCGCGTGTATCTCCGGTTTCCTTCGGGGATCCCAAGCCGTGTGGTGGCACACCGCGCGGTCACTTGGAAATCCCGCCAGACCTCACCGCGCGGTCCGTCACCGCACGGTATTGGAACTCTGGACGCCCCAGTCGCCCGAGACGTCCTAGGAGTTGGTGGAGACTGGGGGATCTGAATTGGATGGGCCCCGAGGAAATCTGTCAAGAGGGCGGAAGGAACCAAATCCGTTCAAAAATAATCCCCCGACCCCTCCGGGGGTCCATCTGGTGTAGTTTTTCACCCTGGATATTTTTGTCGACGGTCCTGGGGCCCGAAAACGGCCCTCAGAGGCCGAGACAAGCAAAAAACCTTCCCGAAGCAAGCACCTCAGACCTCCTCCCCCCGTCCTGCTCACTGGAACCAGTGCTGGGCCACCTCTGATCTCCAGCCGCCTCCAACCTCGGAGAACGGCCCGAATACCAGAACCGCGCGGTGACCCCGAACCGGCACGGACTCACCGCGCGGCATGGTCACCGCACCGCTGGGGGCGACTTCGATTCCTGGGCAAGAGGACCGTCCACAGAGGACCCGCTCGCCCGAAGGCCTCGGTCAGCGGCTCGAGGAGACTGAGCGCACCGCGAAGCTACACGAAAGAGAGACCCCATAGGCAAGTCCGGAAGCGCATTGGATCGATCAAGACACATTTGTTTTATCACATCCACGGCCCCGTGCGGGCCAAAGATAACTGCCGGGGACTCTGGCCCCCAGTGCAATAAGCTCTAAAGGCCGGCCCGCGGGCCGAGACGGCGTCGGGCAGCGGGCGAGGCGGCAGAGGCAGGGATACTCAGGAGAGGAAGTCGATGAGGGAATGGGCGTAGAAGGTCAGGGCTAGGCGGGCCCCGTAGGACTCCTCGGATTCACCTCCAAAGAACCTCAGACTCACTACTTCTCCTTCGCAGCCTCTGACCCGTCTGCTTCTTCCAAGTCGCTCTCTCGAACTCCAGCGGCCACGAGCTCCCGTCGCACACAATGAGCTTCTTCTCGATCGGGCTTGGCGTCAGCCTTCCTCGCAGCTCGCTGGGAAAGCTTCTTCTCCTTGATTTTCACCGGGGCTTGGCCCTGCTGGATCGCGATCAGGCAGGTCCTCACGCAGCGCCAGTAATACTCCAAATGCGCTCCGCCCGCCCTCGGGATACCTGCCAGATTCTGCAATCTATCCACCCGGCGCAGCGCGGTGTTCGGCCGTCTCAGCAAGGCCCCTTCAATCGCCATCCGCATGTCTTGACTCAGGCCTGCGCCATCCTTCGTGATGTAGTCGCGCAATGATTTCGCATTCGTCAAAAAGACCCTGCTCCTCCTCGCTGCGATCTCCTGCCAACGCCTAAGGTATATCTTCACACCTCCTCAAGTAGAACACATGACCACTCACCTGCTTCCAAAGAGTCTGCCAAATGCGAGGCCTCCGCTGCCATGGTACTCCTGCGAACTCTCTGCGTCGACTTCGAGCTGCAGTCCATCTTGGCTGGTTTCACAAGCTTGACGGTGAGCACGTCGCGGTCACCAAATAACCGGCAAATGTCATCTTATGCTCTTGTACTTTGCGATCTCGTCGCTCTCAGGGTCACCGTTGGCGCGTCAAAAATCACATATTATCAAAACAGGGTCACGTTCCGGGTCGATACCCTTCGGGAACTTCAGCACGTTGTCAGCAACTCCTTTGACGTCACCGATGGCCTTGCTAGCCTTCGCTAGGTCGGCGACACACGGAAGAACCATAGCCCTCTGGGCTTGTCCTGCTTGAAAAGGCAAGGTCCGCTCGCAACTGCCTTGACAATCAAGATATCTCTCCCGTAGCCTTCCGTAGCCGTGAAACTTAGTCGTCGGTGAGCGGGCTGGCCAGGGCCCCCCCCCTGGCCCTTGCGATTCGGAACCGTCTCCATGTTCACATAGCAGCCCGCCATCATCACACCCACGTCGCCGCCAGGCAACCACTGCATCTCACGCCCGCGGAACGCGGAGTCCTCCTTGAGCCGCGTTTGGAACTTCAGCTTCTGTTTTGTCTTCTTAAAGGTCATGCCCCCACATCTCTTTTGAACTCCAGCCAGCAGATCATCCACATGCGCGACTAGAACACTCACCAAAGCTCGAGCCCTGTCGCTTAAGTAAAACAGAGCTGGCTCAAATAAAGACTGCACCCATCCGCCCCTCTCTAATGCAGCGCGGAAAGCTAACCAGGACAAGCGGGCGGCCCTGGCAACTCCATGCCTCGCCTTCTTGGCCCTCAGCAACTGTCTCGGATGGAGCCCCTTCGAACCTCCTCATGGCTGGCTAATGTAGATCTCGCGTCCTATCCCTCGGCCAGAAAAGTGGGCATTCTCGGTGCCTCCGCAACTCTGGATCATGCTGTTACTGGCAACCACCACCAACACCACAGCCCCTGCCAACTTTGGAGCCGCTGGCGCATCTCGTCGGTACTCTCCACGACTCTTGCCCTTGTAACCACGGGCCACCATCCTCGACTTCGCCTCGAACTGTCCGTCGAGAACTCCTTCACCTTCGTTGGCTCGCACCCACTTTACCAGCATGATCAGGTCGCGCTCGGCCCCCATACCTGCTCGGTCTCTCCGAGGCCCAGCGTCGCACAGGCGCCCAGACCATGCCATGCCTTCTACTCCTTGTCGTCAGATCCGCCAGGTCCAACGAACAACTTTCGCGCCGCCTCGTCGAGTTCTCTTAGGCGTAGAGCTCCTTCTTCGCTTCTTCGCCGCCGCGAGTCCAGCCTCGCAGGAGTACCCGAACTCATTCCACTCGACTCCGAAGACGACAGCCTCCTTGCTCACGCCGCGCTTGGCGTAGAAAGAATCGTTGGCGCCGTCGGTCATGAAGACCGCGTTCATCATCGAATCCTCGACCCCGCAAACCCCGATGGCCTCCTCTCCGCGCATGATCGACGAGGGGGCGTCAGCCAGCAACTTATGTCTCTTCGCCTACCGTTCAGCTGCTCCCCCTGATGGTCGACTCTCTCCCCGCCACTCGACGTCGCCCTCGCCCGGGAGAGGCGGTTCATCAGCGACCCGACTGCGGTAATCGCGCAGGCCGGGGCCCCACTCTTCGCTGATGGGAACCGCCCGCTCATCGCGTCCTGGCCTTTCTCGGGGAGTCTTTTGGAAAAACGTCTTCACTGCATCGTCCGTCTGATCCGCGTCTGGCGCAACTCCCTCGAATCTGACTCTCGGCTCTCGCGGCGGCGGGGGCTCCTGCTGCGTCCAAGGTGGCCCTTGGCAAGGGTCCTCCATCACAGTCTCCTCCGCTGGCCCCTCCTGCACAGCTGGTTCAGGGGGCTCACCTCTCTCGGCGGGATGTGGTACCACTGGCGACGGTGCATCTGGCGGCGGCTGAGCCGCTGCCGGCTCCGGTCGAACCTGCACTCCGCCCTCTCGGAACTCAGGCGGCACCTCGCCGTCGCGGGTCGATGATACCACTGCCTCCTGCCGCGCCAGCGGCGTCTATCAGGTCCACCCCCAGGCGACGTCACCATCCACGCTACGATCTCCTAGTCGGAACCCTTCGCAAGGTGTTCGGGAGCGCATGCAATGGTGATGCCACTATGCACTATCCGAATCGCAAGCTCGCGTTCGTGCTCAAGCACGCGTGCGACGCCTCTCCAGTTGATAGCGCCCTCGGGTTTCTTGCCCTGCTCCTCCTGATCGTAGTAGAATGCCAAGCCGCCCACGTCGAAAGGTACACGTGCTGGTCGGATCTGTCTCAGTTCCGCTCTCTTGATGGCGTCGCCCGTGGCCGCCTTCGCGCGAGCTTCTCTTGCTGCTCGTCGTAGCGCACACTTCCTTGCAAATTTGGACGCCGGGGTCGATGACGCCGCGATGGCGCCGATCGTCTCCACCTCGCCGTCGCCCCTGAGACCCGCCAGGAGGAAAACATCTCTTCCTAGCACCCACTGCGCCGGTGAGAATCCAGATATCCTGCTCAGCGTTTTCCTGGCCTGGTTGATCTCTATCACGGCCTTCAAGACATCCTCTCGCCCTGCAACCTGCTTCGCCCATGCGACTCCTCCACATAGCTTGCCATAGGTCCCCACGTCGCCCCACCTTGGCGATGCGCCACGCCGCAGCCTCGGCAGCCGAGTCGAAACGACGCCCTCGGCTAGACAGGGGCTCCGAAAAACTGCCAAAGAAACCCCGGGCCCCGTCGACGACGACTCCAACCTCGAGTTCGCCTGCCCAAGATGCCCAGCACAACTCGCAAGTCCCCGGCGCCGTGACTGAGCCCGTCACCTCGTGAACCTCGCCGAGCAAGGCAAACACCTGAAACGAGCACCCCAGACACCGAATGCGCAGGAACTGCCACTTCGCCTGGCCCGCGTCCGTCTCGAGGAAAATGTCGAAGCCCACTACTACTTTGAACTCGGCAACTGTCGGCCGCTTGCTCGGCCTGGCCAGCGGCGGTCGTCTCGCGCGCTCACAGCGCTCGCGAGGAAGAGTCAGCACGCCTCGACCTTAGCCCTCGAGGCTCTCGAAATCCGCAGGGCCCCCAGCATTTCGATCTTCGGCGCGTGGCCCAGGTTCTCGCGCAGCCTTCGGATCGCCACCTTGAAGTCACGCGGTAGCTGATCCCATGGTAGCTCCTGGCAGTCTCCTCATCCTGCCCTTCGCCCTCCGCCTCGCCGAGCTGCGAGCCACGCATCGCGATGAGAACGTCGGCCCCGGCGATCTTCAACACGCGCGGCTGCGGCGACAGGCTGGCCCAGCCCCCCCGGCCGAGCTCGGACCACACCCCACGCCCACTCCGAGCGTTGGCCGCCCGCATCGGCGCCTTAGAAGCACGCAGATGCGGCGCCACTGCCAGCCAAGAACGAGGGCCCCGTCATATCATCAGCAGCTTCACGGCGGCGGTGACCTCCTCAATCTCGGCGACCTGGGCAGCCCTCTTGTCCACCGAGAGCCACGACAGCGCGAGGGGCGAGAGGAAGTCGACAAACCCGTTGAATATCTCCATCACTCGGTCGACCTTCTACTTGGGCATAATCATCCAACCACCTCTCCGTGTAACTCGTCGCTTAAGTCCGCCAACCCCTCCGAATAGTTCAGCTCCGGGTCGGGCCCTCTTGGCAGGGGGCTCGCTGGCCGCCGCGTCGTCCACGGGGACACCCGACTCCATATGGCCCTTCGCGACGGCTGCCGCCCCGTCGATCTCCATTTGGCGCTTCCCGGGCTGCTCTCTTCCAGGCAGAGCTGTTGCCCTCCACCATCTCGCGAGCGGCCCCGCACCTACAGGGGATAGCCAGCTTGTCGAGAACGCACTGGCTGTTCGCAGAGAAGCCGGTCAGCTTCTGGACGGGCTGTCCGCTGTCGATGCCCTTATTGCCAGAGCCACACTGGGCGCCACAGGCGAAACAGACATTCGGCAACCCGTAGATCTCCGCCAAGATGCCCTTGCACTTCCATGATGCCGCTGACCACAGCTGCTCTGCTAAGACAACCGTTCCTTCCTCCTTCGATGAAAGCATACCCATTTCACCAACTTAAGCACTCGCACGCCATGGGCCCCTCGCAAAGCCTCCCAATCCAGTGTCGGGGACATGTTCGTCACCACAGATCATAAGCGGCAGTCGAAGGCGATGACGGCGAGGAACGGGTCGTGTTCCTCCAGGATCTCGACGAGCAAATCTTCACCGCCCATGGCCATCGGGTCGCAGCCGTCGATCTGGTCCAGCGGCTGCGAATTCGCCCCAGGGCTCGAAAATCATCGCCTTCCTGAACCCTGATGGGGCCGTCGTCTCTGCGAGCGCGCACGCGTTCTCCAGGGCGGCCCAGGCCCCCTTTTTTCTGAGCGGCGATCCTCGATGCCGCAGCTGCCAGCTCCTGCGCCCTTTGGTTGGTGAGCTCGCCTCTCGCGTCGGCCCTCCGCACACCTCTCGCAGCAAGTGAGACGCCCGAGCCTTCGCCCAGGCAAACCTCGCAAATATTGCGCTCTGACGCGTTCGAGCTATCATCCGCACAGAACTCGCGACTGTCGCGCCCTGACTGGCTCGAACTCTCGACCCGACGCGGCGAAGTAATTACCCTCAGCTCCCCGTCGTGGCAATCGACGTCCTGCTGATACGCGGGGCCATCCCCGCCGTCGCCGTCGACGTTCTCCACGTACGCGTTGCCACCCTTGAACACGTCCATGCAGTTGGCCAGGTGCGCGATGGCGTCGCCTCTCGCAGACTACAGATTTATCTTCTGCAGCACAGCGTCCTGGTCATCGCCGAACTTCGACACATCGATGCCCAGATGAGGTGCGTTCTTCATCCCAGGAGCTGGCATGTCCAGATTATTGGCTCCCACGTGAGTGGGGCCACCCAAGATATCGAGAGCTGGAACGGATATTAGAAGTGGCGTCGCCCCCGCAGGGATCTCCGTGGAGCACGCTTCACCTCTGAAACTCCCAAAACCAATCCAAATCACGTAGACGCCACCCTTCTGCTTGGAATCGTTCGCGAAAATGACCTGACGCTTGGCGCCCGTCTCCCTGCAGACTAAGGCTGCGGGGCATGGTCTTCTCGCGCGGTTCTCTCCAGCACCTGAAGCGAATGCAAAGGATGCAGGCCGTGCCCACCAGGGCCACAACCCCATCCTTCACTGCATTGTCAGCTCGTCCCACGGCGAAGGAAAACTGCGCGTCGAGCTGCTCGGCGGCGAGCTCGTCGGGCACTGCCAAAATGGCCACCCACGTCCTTGCTGACCTCAGAGGCTCCTCGGGGCGCCATATGCGCCGACGCTCGAGGGACGTCGAGACACCTTTCGCGGTCTCGCCGTTGCCCAGCCGCGAAGCGAACAGCGACCTGGGCCGCCGTCTCGCAACGTCTGCTGGCCCACGTTCCAGCTGCATGCGCCCTGCACCTCATGATGGCGTCGAAATTGCGGCGCCCGTAGAACTTCGCGCCACCCATTCGCCCCCGCGCCACTGTCCTTCTGCTGCTTCACGAGGTTCGGCTTCGTTAACGGGTTCTCCGCGACTGAAGCCAAAGCCTTGGCCTTTGCAACGTCCTGGCGCTGCTCCGCAGACTGGAAAG